TAGTAGTAACCACGCAAAGTTTACAGTCACTACAGGCTAAGTTAGGCGGTATTTCAGGCCGCATTGGAGAAAACGGCTTTCGCCCAAACCCTGCTTCGGTCATCTCGACTTCGGTCCTGTCACCGGTCAAGGCGGTTAGGGTTAGAGTGGGGAAGATCGTGGCGTGTCTACTTTCACTATACCTAACTACAGTCACCTGCTTTCGGGCAAATGGTGGACATCTACGCTTGCGATTGTCGAACTAACACACACACAAGGATATAAACAATCTGCACTATTGTCTCACACCAAAGTTATTCAAGTTAAACCTATTGTTGATTTGCCAAAGAACAAAAATTTCACTTAAACTCCCCAAACTGGGCACAAAAGCTAAAAATGGCGGAGAGTCGGTTCAAATGCGACCCAAACATTAGCAGTAAGTCATCTTAGGGATCGAGGAAGCCATAACATACAGTGAATAAAATGTTTAGTACGCGTTCCATGTGCAAATACTTCTTGCTCTGGTTCTAAAATATAAGTTGGGCAGTTTATTACTCAAGGATAGCGGGAATTCACGGAGGCTGTCAGGTATATTTTCAGTTGGCTATGCCACAGACTTGTGGATAATATAAAGACCTTCAGTCTTCAGTGTGAACCCAACAAATGTGGCATTCGTGACAGTCGAAACAAGCAAGAGCGCAAAAAGTAAGCCATTGCTTTTATACGTTTAAATGTTCTTTAGGAAAAAGAATTTAAGGAAATTTTACTAAACTTTTCATACTTTCTGCTCCAAGAGTCCAGAAGATAAATAACCTAAATGAGAAGTATAGACAAGTGGACAACCGAAGTCTTTAAAAGGACCTTCAAAGGAAACCAGTCATTTTGGTAGGATACGGTGAGACAAAGTGTCAAGCATGTTGGCTTCCCATGTAGGAGAATAATCTCAAGGGAAAGTATACACCCAAACGGTTTTCTGGTGTTCAAGTAAATATAATTTCATTAGTAGATAGGCGTGCACCGATCAGATACAGGGCACACCCGACCTGGTTGT